TGGTATATACATACCACATTTGGGTTATCCATTCATAAATTTACAGACACTTAGGTTGATTCCATATCTTTGCAATTGTGAATTGTGCTGCAATAAACATTTCAGTGCAGCTGTCTTTTTTACAAAATGACTTCTTTTCCTTTGGGTAGTAATCCAGTAAGCAAGATTGCTGGATTGAATGGTAGGTCTACATTTATTTCTTTGAGGAATCTCCATACTGTCTTCCATAGAGGTTGTACTAATTTACTTTCTCATATATACATATACATATAATCTATATACATGTTAATCTATATACACATATATCATATATATATGGCCTTGTTTTGTAAACTCACATACTCGTGTGTAATTCTTGCTTTTTTTCCTAATTAAAATAAACACTCAAAACCATAACAGTCAATGTGGTGTCTTGGCTACCTTACACCTCATTGTGCCAAAACCAAACATTACTGGGAAAATAATCTATTGAAAAAATATCAAGGTAAGAGGTAGAAAATTCATTAATGGAAAGGTTTGTTTTGGAAATTTCATGAATATATTTGCTTTTTATGTTACAGATCATTTTATAATACCAAAGAACAATACAAAAGAACACCACTGCCACCAAACTCAACTCCTTCCTGTAGCAAAGTAGTAATCCCAGGTACTGACTCAGACGATGTTTCCTGCCAACAAGACTTTGCAGTTGCTGTTACTTCCACTTGAAATGCTCTTCCCTCAGATGCATGAATGGCTTTTCATTTTTGCTTCTATCACATTTTTATTAAAATATTCCCTTCTTTGTGAGGTCGCCTTTGGCCAATCTAAAATTGCAATACTCATACAAGCACTTCTTTCTACCTCCTCTGCTTTATTTCATTTCTCTATCACTATTAATATTGAGATATTAGACATGTTACATATTTATTCTGCTTTGTATTTCCATCTTTTCTGATAGAATATAAGCCCATATAAGCAGACACTCTTGTCCCATTGTTATGTCTTTGGAATATAAGATAGTTTTCAGTCCACTATAGTACTCAAGAGATATTTGCTTAATACATAAACAAAAAATAAAATCTCTAAAGACACAATGAATTAGAATATACTTTGGAGTTTACTGTAACAGGCTGATGTCTAAAAGATACCTTTCCATAAAGCAAAATTAAAAATAAGGTACATGTAAATGAAATGGTAGAATTAAATTTAGGAGAATTAATATGTAATAGGAAATTTTCATTTCCTTTTTACTTTTGCATTACACATGCATGCACACATGTTTATTCAACTTGCAAATAAATCATTAACTTCTAAGTGATGTAGTAATAGGATAAGACACGCAGTTCATCACTAATGTTATTTCTACCAACATTCTATAAGATATAAAATACAGAAGAGTATTGACCTAAGTAGGAGTGTTTAAACAGAAGTAATGTTTTCCAAATCCTTTCTGTGCCTCAAGGATTAAATGAAATCACAGTTCTCCCATAAAACCACTGTCAACTACTCCAGTACATACATATTGTTTCCTCCTCTACATTCATATTTCAATTAAATGTTTTTGAGAATTTCTTTGTGTTAGGCAACATCTAAGTGATGGAGAGACACAGCTAAAGTGACACAATTTTATGAAACAGAGTCTTGTTTAGTTGAGTTTTACCGTAATCATTTTTTGTAATAATCTCATTTTCTATTCACTTGCCTTGTTTTGCTTTTCTCCCTTGCACATATCACTATTCAACATACCACATATTTTACTTATTTATCCCATTTGTGGGCAGCTTTCTACCAAACCAAATGGCATACAATCCTACAACATATAGAACACAGTTAAGCACACAGTAGGACCTTCTTCTCTTGCCTTTTTTCCACATCAGCTGGAAATTTAACAAGTGTACTCCTGTATCTGTCAGGATGCAACCAAAAAAAGCACAAATCATTATGAGTACCTAAAACAAAGGGAATTAAGGCAGATAATTGGTTACAACAAGATTTGGAAGAGGTTGCAAAGGCAAGCAAGGTGCAGTGAGGCAACCCAGAGATTAGCAACACCAGAAAGTGACTGTCATTCACTTAAGGGACAGTGGACCAGGTAGGTGAATGGATCCCAAGGCCACGTTCATGTGTAGGAGGCTAGAATCACGTTGAGCTCTAGCAGAAACTGAGCCACACAAAAAATGGTGCCACTCCTGGAGCTATTGCTAACAGGCAGGGAAGTGAAATCATTCTGCTTTCCCTCTCCTGCCCTCCAACCTCTCAGCATTTCCTCCCACTAGCAAATCCTATCCACAGGCACCGAACCTGACAAACTCCTCGTGCAGGAGACTGGCAGCAAACACCACAAAGCAGGGCAAAGGGGCAGGGCAGACACATCTGAGGACAAAGAGGCCCAGCAACTGAATATACCCAATGCAGCCAAACTTCTGACGACACATTTTTGAAATTTTTTCCCTCAAAAAAACTGTTATTATCAAATGTTAATTTCAAAATTGGCATTAACAAAGAAATGTTTTATAGTTTAATCTCTTCTTTTTTCTTTTTTTTTTGCAGATCTCAGTGTTACCCAAGAACAACTCTAACTTGTTTTTTAGTATTTTCTGGGTAGGATAAATAAGAAATGGATAGACAATGATGACACTAATTTAGCTTTTTCAGGAGAATTAGAAATAAAAACAAAATGCTTGTTATGCCTTTCTAAGAAGAAAGTGTGTGTGTGTGTGTGTGTGTGAAAGAGAGAGAGAGAAAGAGAGAGAGAGAGAGAGAGAGAGAGAAAGGATGAGAGGAGAAAGAGGGAGAGAGAGAGGAATCCAAAAATGACATTTTGAAGGAAGAGCCTCTGTAAATACAGAAGTTTGGTGGGTATTTTTCAAGCTGCTTAATACTGCTGACTGGACATCTTTACATGACAAACACCAGATGGAAAAATCAGTTGAGAGTCACAAGCTGAGGATGATTTCATTATAAAATGATCATTTACTCATAATTATTTAGAAAAGTCCAAAACCCTACAGTGCTTTTGTAATAACATTTGTGTTACCAGAATATATCATGAGTATACTTTTGCTAAAAGTTTATACTCTAATCTGCAGGAGAAACCTGATTATTCTAATATGACAAACACATAAAATACTTGTCTAATTATAAAATTGGAATTTCAATTTCCAGTAAAACATTTCACCATCACACCATTTGCAGTTTTTCTCTTAAACGGCTGTCTACAAAAATACTGTAATAACACAGCTTTTCTGATTAACCAAACAACCAATAATCAAGAAGACAGAGTGACTTACTCCCATCCTTATGTAAATACAAAGCTTATTTTTGTTCTCTAATAGCTGCACATAACAATAAAATGCTTTTAATAAGTTTTAAGAGACTTAGACCAAAAAATCAATTTAGCCAATGCCCCTTTCCAAATGACTACCATACAGCACGTCTAAGGCTGCACCAGGACATGTTTGCATTGTTATTTGGTGGTAAACAAAATGAAAAGATCTGTCATTGGAATTTAAATAAGAGAGATTGGTTATACAAACTGCAGCATTCTAAACTTCAGTATTGTACAGTCAACAGCTTGAAGCTGCTCTCCCAGCTAAACATAGTTGGATTGTTTTTCCAAGGGAGGAAAGATTAATAGCTACAAATCATGACCTTTGACTTCATTGACATAAATTCTAAGTGAAATATAATTGGAAAAACTGGTGAAACCTTACAGTATTGTTATAAAGCAGTATAATGACCACATATCTACAATAGTTAGATATATACACCCAATTTGGAGTCACAAATTTCCTCTCTAGCTTATAGTATAGAATGCCCAATGAATGTATTAAAACAAGTTCTAGGTTCTCATGCCCACTGCACTTCTGCAAAGGAAAACCTCAAATTGCTAACACACTTGATGATGTATATTGTTTCTAAGTATGATATCCAGAGAAAATAAACCTCTATAAATATAGGGAATTTGTTTCCTCTGACATTTTAATAGTTTTTATTTAAAAGTCACTTTGCACAGGCATTCTATTGTGATACTGCAATTCTGAGCCTTCTTGAACAACAGGGGACAATGGCTTCCACTGTACATTTAATTAGTTAAATTTAGAGAATTATCATAAAATTTGGCATAACTGTAAGTTCTTTGAAAGAAAAATAGGTAGCTTTTCTTATTGACCATAACCTTAGGCAGTAATTTATTTATCGTATTATCACTGCTAAAATAAGAATGATTTTATAGCTTAATTACAAAAAAATAACATAATGAATTATATCATTTGGAATTCATTTATGATTATAATAAAATATCAGTTATATGTAACTACCAGGAACAAGTCAAATCACTAACTTTTTAATTGCCTTTAAGCATGCTTCCTATAAAGGAACAATTAAATTAATACCTGTGTACCAAATGAATGAGCAATAAAGAGTTAATGGCCCATTTCACTACAATGTAAAAATGGAATTCCAAATAGTATTCAGTGGCACAGAAGAACCAAATCAAGCCATACTTTTCATATCCCTTTAGGAATAAGTGTTAGCATATAAATTCTGGAGGAAAGGATCCCAAGATTACAGAACTGATAAGTAACAAGCCACGTACAGATGAGTCAGATAAAAAGGTTCCTATAAAACAATAATATTCCCTTTTTCATAAATTCCATAATCCTGAATAGAACTACGCAATGAAACATAGACAGTATCATTAGTTCTCAAAGAAAAAGGGAAACACACACACACACACACACACACACACACACTCTTACTCAGTTCCTTTTTTTGATGCTGAGATTCTAATCCTGACTCATTACTCAGCCTTTGAACTTCATATATCACATCCACTCTGTGGTTGTTATAGACATGTTTCAGTCTTGAAATGAAACAATGAAAGACAAGAAACAAAACAAAACAAAAAAGCCTTTGAAAGAAAATTTCTATTTGTTAACTCTCTTAAAAATGTATCTCTTTGTTTGTAAGATCTTTAACATAACTTGCTATAATTCTCTAAGGAATAGGGGGTAAAGTCTTTGCTGTTGTTAATTTTAGATATGTGTCGTTAAAATTTAGCTATTTCAAGATAATGAGCTATTAGAAACGTGAGCATTTACATATCTCTTCTTGACTTCCCATTCAACATGGTGTGCTGAGAAAATGGGTTCATTTCCTTTTCCTCTTGGGACCTAGATGAAAAATAAGACACGCGGATGTAAAATGAACAAACACAGAATTTAAGAGCCTAGGTGGTTATCAACATTATAATAAATATTCTGATGAGGTTTTGGGACGCTGAAAATAGACACAAGTGTGTAAGTCAATAAGCAGAGAAGAATTTGCTGTAAAGAAAAAGCTCTGTGAGATGAGTGTCAATTTTCCCATCACACAGGAGATTGCATGGAGGGAGAGAAGGCTGAAACAAAAAGAGGACTTACGAGTCAGTATTTGAGATGGTTGTGCCAAGCTGCACAGCCAGCCTCACTTGCAGAAGAGCCCATACAGCCCCACATTTGCCTCTATGAGGGGAAAGACAGCAGGGGGTTATTTCCTAAAGAAATTAAATGAGCTTTCTGGGGAAAGGAACAAGAAAAAGAGTTGTGTGTATATTGCACCCCAAATAAAGCTCTGATCATGCTGACATTGACATGTAGCCACACACCCAGCACCTTGCTTGCTAACCCTATAAGGAAGCTTGACTCCTCTACCCAAGTCCCACTGTCTATTCAAGTCATGAGCTGAAACAGAACTATTTGCAAATTCGCGAAAGAAACCCACATCTGCTAACCAACTCTGCATTCCTAAATATGAAACAGGCCAATAAGGCTCATCAGATGTGTCAGAAAATCAGCAGCATAAAAGATAAACAGAAGATAAACAGAAAAGCAGATTTCAGAGGAAAGAAGGAGATCAGGTATTTCAGTAAGCAAATAAAAAGAAATAAACAACAAAAACCTTTTTTGTATGGATATTGGAGGCAATATTATGTCACTATAACAAAGTACACTATTATGTAAAAGAAAAAAAATAGAGAACAAAATGAGTTCTGCTTTGGGAATCAGAGATTAAAATATGACATAAAAAGGAGGAGAAGGAGAAAGTTTGTTCCAATATGTAGAACAGAATGAGAAAAAGAAATACTAGTCAAAATAAAAAGTCAATATCCTACTAACAGGAGTGCCAAACAAAAAGAAAATTGAGAAAAAAACGGGAGAGAAAGTATCTAATTACTAACAGAATAAGAGGAGAGAATGTCACAGATCTAAGTCAGGAATCATTAGGTTTAAAGATTCAAAGTGCCCCTCACCTAAAGAAATATATTTTTCTAAATTCTTCTTGTGAAAATTTCAGAACACCAGGATAAAGATACTGCAAGCTTCCAAAGAAATAAAACAGCTTATTATAAATGAATTAAACTGAGACTGGCACAGGCATTCTCCTCAGCAATACCAGATTGTAGAAGAATAAAGCATTGCAGAAAAGAAATCATAATTTTGATTTCAGACTCCATGTCATGGCCAACTATGACTCAAATATGAGACCCAAATAAAGTCATTTTCAAACAGACAGGGTCTTCAAAATTTTCCCATTTGTATATCATTTCTAGACAGTCCTTTGAATATGTATTACGGAAAAAAATTAATACCTGCAAAATAAAATGAGGAAGATATTGGGTCTAAAGAAGGATGAATATAGTTCAGGCAATCCTCAAATGCAAGTCTGGGCTGATGGCTGTACATCAGGTCTAAAAATGAACTAGTCAAAATTGGAAACAAGCTTCAGGGGAAAAAAAAGGATATGTGAGTGGAAAGAAATAAAAGATTTTGATAAACTCACAGATAGAATGGCATTAAAGTTTTCAAGAAACTAAAAAGATGCACAGAACACTGTGCTCCAAATATAAGATCAAATAAAATGCATCGTGATTCTTCATAGATGTAATATAAGAGATCCAGTTGCCCTTGATACCAGAAATATTTTTCTTGAAGTTTCTCAGACCTAATGACATCAGACTTTTGTGCAATAAAATTTTATTCTATTTGTTCTGGCACTGAAAAATATTTACATGGTTTCAAGAATACAAACACTATTAATTGGTTTCCAACTTTAAAAATCAACCTATGGACAAAAGATGCAAAAACTGCTTGTGTGTGAAGAAGATAATGTAAATATTATCTAGTTTGATAAGTTAAAACAAATCAGAATAACTAGAAAAAGGAAAGATAAATGGAAGGGTGGTGTAAAATACTGACCATATAGAGTTGGTGGCTTAATACATAGAAGTACATATCCACTATTCAAAGTTACAAAGGTAATGGGCAGGAGGACTCAAAATAATGATGAAACTGTCAAACGTTGGGAGAAGGTGGGGGAGGGAAGGTGAGATAGAATGAAATAAATCATATCTTTTTAAAAAAGTGATCAGATATTGTCTTCTGGTTGGGAAATTAAGAAATGGAGATACACACATACCTAGAGTTAAAAAAGAATGAAAACATTCTTCATACAGAAGAATGAAAACAGAAGTGACTGGAAAAAGTTGCCCCTGGAGATTAGGGATGAAAATCAGAAAAAAATTCATTGGGTGGCTGCCTGCTTTTCATTGGAAATTCTTCTGTTTTAATTGCTACAATGCGCACATAACCCAACGAAAATTTTAAAATAAAAATATATCTAACTTCTTTTAGAACATTTCTACCCAGCTTTCAATGACTTTAAAAAAAAAAAACAATCTTTTTTTTAAATTCTGAAAAATACTTTTCAAATCAACTATTATCTTGAACTATAAAATATATACCATTTCAGGAAAACTAAGTAAAGTGTTTTATTATTTGAAATTATTACCATTTCACTGTGCAAACCTTATTTCTAGATTTACAGAGGAGGCTGTGATGGTTCTCAAGGATGTATGATGATTTCCAGGATCTCTACTCTGTGAATTAAAGAGGGTTTGTGAGATGGATGAGCCAATGTGGTCTAAAAGGTCAAAAATGCACTCCTTTAAAAGCCCCTAACATGGAATTCAGCAAATATAAGCGTTTTCTGCATTGAATATATGCCCATGACTTGGACTTTGGATCAGCAATACAGTGTCAAGTCAATGGAGCAAATTTTGAAGTAAACAGAATATCTAGATATTGTACCACAGTTCTTTTTAGATAGCAAAGACAGCAATTGACCTGTTTTCTTGGCATAACATTAAACTACTTCAGGACAAGTGCCAATCTGAGCTGGATCTATGTAAATGATTGTAAGAATCATCCTAATTATGATGTTTGGTCAAATGTAATACTTTAGTGTAGGATGCAGTGTTACCCATTCATCTCTAGTTGCTCCTGATTTCACTAATGGTTAGAAGAGATTTGGTTCTTGTATGCATTGATAATTGAGGGGGGTGTGTGTGCATGTGCACAAGCCTTCTAATATATATTTAATAAAGTCTTTTTAATCTACTGCAATCTCATATATGAGATCCATATATGAAATGTTCTTGATAATTTACAAAGTATATTCTAGGTACATAAACACGAGTGTTCTCAAGAGCTGAGATGTTCAGTGCTATTTTGTACTGTTTAAAGAATAATTTAGAAGAATTATAATCCAATGGCATATTTGAAGATGTAGAAATATTAAAAAAAAGAATTTACCTCTTATGAAACTCTATCATTTTGGATGAGATTACAGAGTTAAGTTGCTGTTAAGAAGTCAGAGAATCATTTCAAACACAAAGGATTTTCAAATATGGAGTCTTATTATTTTTTTTCAGAGAATCCAAACATAGTGCTGTGCAAATTGGAGGCATATTTTAGAGTTAGAATTCTAATTTATTTTCCTTATTGATATAATAGTTGTATATATTTTGGGGGTACATGACACTTTGATATATATATTATGTGTAATGATCAATTCAGGGTAGTTGGGATATCAATCACCACAAAGAGAATGTTCTTTGTGTTGGGAATATTATAATTCTCTTCTTCTAGCTATTTTGAAATATACAATGTGCTATCAATTGCTTGAATTCATTCATTTTGACTATATATTTTTTGTTTTTCTTTTTAAAATTTTTTTAATTTCTAAATTTTTTATTTTTTAACTTTCAAAATATTATGGGGGCAGAAATGTTTTGGTTACATACATGAACTGCCTTTGTATTGCTTGAGTCAAAGTTATAAGTGTGATCATCACCCAGATATAGTGGGCATTGTACCTATTAGGCATTATTTCACCCATCTCCTCCTACCCCTCCTGCCTGCATGGTTTCCATTGAGTTTTATTTCCATCTGTACAAATCAGTGCTGATCAGTTAGCTCTAATTTAATAGTGAGTACATGTGGTGTTTGTTTTCCATTCTTGTGAAATGTTTGTTTTCCATTCTTCTCCTTTACTTAGGAGAATGGTCTCCAGTTCCATCCAGATTGTTGCAAAAGTTTCATTTTTTATGGCTCAGTAGTACTCCATGGTGTGTGTGTGTGTGTGTGTGTGTGTGTGTGTGTATCACATTTTATTAATCCACTTCTTTACAATTGGGAATTGTGCTGCCATAAACATTCTAGCACAAATGTCTTTTTGATAAAATGACTTTTTTTCCTTTGGGTAAATACTCAATAGTGGGATTGCTGAATCAAACTTTTAGTTCTTTGATGAATCTGCATACTGTTTTCCATAGAAGTTGCTAGGACTCACACTGTATTCTCCCCACTGATCTGCCCATGCAGGCTTCCTTATAATTTACAAATCTCCCCTCCATGCCCCCAAGCCATGCAATTGAGACATGGAGGTATGGGTCTGGCCTGTGAGCCCATCTCCAGGCCCCCAGTGATCAATCCCTGACCATTCCAGGGAGAAGTATGCTGATTCCAAGTTGTCCATGGGGTTCCCAAGCAGGTTCAATGTCCCTCCACGTCAGGGCGTGACCTACTCTGATAGAGTTGCCAGGCAAACAACCCCAGCGAGGGTTGGCGGGCTGGGAGCTCACAGTCTGAGCACCCATCAATCTACTGAAGGACCCCAAGAGGAAAGCTCTGAGCCCCACTCTCTGTGGAAGCTTCGATGTGGTGGTTCAATTGTCTGTCTTGGCAGCCACAGGTGGGGAAGGGAAAGAGGAGAAAAAGAGTCTGAATAGAGGATGGCCAGCAGTCTGGTCATATCTGTCCCTCACTCTGGGTGTCCACCCACCCAGAATGATTAGGCACTGGAGTCATGCAGATCACCCAGGACCCACTGGAGCCCTGTGATTCCTACAGTCTGGGTCAGAGTTGGGAAATGTCTTCATGAGACAGCAAAATGAAACCTGATGAGTCGAAGCCCCCAGGGAGGACAAAGGTGCATGGTGGGTAGAGCATTATGATGCCTACCAACTGGCTCAGGTGTTTGGAGATGCAAGGCTTCCCAAAGGGAGTGGGGGGCCTAGTGCCTTGTCCACAAGAAGCTCCCAGCTCACTGCCAGCAGCAGCCTCTGGGCTTGTGTGGGCAGAAAGTCTCTCCAGCAGCTCAGGATTCCACAAATACAAGGGAAGGGGAACCACTGCTCCACCTGCCCTTCTTGCTGATCTCTAAGTCTCTTGGGGTTGATCTCTGCCAATACCTTGCTCCTTCCTGTTCTGTTCCACAACTTCTTCCCAGGGAATCTCCTGAAAGTTCTGGCAGCCTTCCCTCAGACCCACACCCAATCTGTCTGTTTATTCATTTTTATCTTTCATCTAAAACTTCTTACTGATACACTCTGGCAGTTGGTATCTCTGGTCATCCATTTTCTTTTTTGTAATTCTCAATGACTACTTTTCTGACCATATTTTGTACCCCTTAATCTACTTCTCTTCATCCCTTCTTTTCCTCTTCCCTGCCCAACCTCTGATAACCACCATTTCACTCTCTACCTCCATAAGATGCACTTTTACAGTTCCCATGTGTGAGAACATGCAATATGTGTCTTTCTGTGTCTGGCTTATTTCATTTAACATAGTGTCCTCCAGTTCCATCTATGTTGCTTCAAAGGACAGAATTTCATTCTTTTTAATGGCTGAATTATATTCCATTGTGTCTAGACACCACATTTCCTTTATCCATTCATTTATGGATGGACACTTAGTTTGCTTCCATGTCTTGGCTATTGTGAATAGTGCTGTTCTAAACTTGAGGGTAGGGATATCTCTTCAATATACTGATTTCCTTTGTTTTTGAATGTATACCCAACTGTGGGATTGTTAGATAACATGGTAGTTCTATTTTTAGTTTTTTGAGGAACCTCCTATAATTCTAGTTTAGAAATACAGAGTCTTTTTTAGTCACTGACATGGTCTGTGCAGTAAATGGAAAGCATTTCCGGTAGATAGTCACCACTCCCATTTTTCAGTAATCTGTCACCAAGGACCAGGGCATCTGAATCAGGGTTACAAGACAGAGGTTTTATAAACACGGTTAATAGCCTGCAGTTTGCCAAAGACAGTGCTATGCATTTTGCTTGCATTATCTCATTTAAACCTCACCCAAATCTCCTGAGGTGGATATGGTTAGAATATTTCACACATCAGGAAAATGAGTCACAGGCCTATGAATGTCTTGCCCAAAGGCCATACAGCTATTAAGTGTTCGAAACAGGGTTTCACTGAAGCCTTGTAGCTGAAGTAAACAGTCTCTTTTTTTCTATGCTGTCTCTACTGCCAAATATACCCAAAACAGAATTTTCTCATTGAAAATCTTTTAAGTTTTTACTCTAATACATATTTTATATAATTAGAAAATAATATTTATTGTGTGCCTGACACAACAAACTGAGTGAAAATTGTTACTGCTAGGGAAAAACAAACGTATAGCATCTGACTGTATCAATTTCCTTTCCTTGGAAAAATCTTCCTCTTTATATCCTATGGTATACTTCATTCAAGTCTCCTCCTAAATGTCACCATAGCAGAGAGGACTTCATGGAAATTAGCATATAAAATATTATCCTTGTCCCTATAGCTCTCTGTCCCTTTAATTTCATTTTCTTTATAGTATTTTATAGTATTTATCATTATCTGATATACTATATGTTAATTTGTAGATTTTTTTTTTTTTACTAGAGCATAAACTTAATGAGGACAGGGATTATGTCTGCTTTGTTCACTGATAGATTGTGAGAACATGGGCAGTCAGTGCCTGACACTTAGCTGGTACTTAATAAATATATCTTGAACAAATAAGGGATTTTAAGTCTTATCAACTTGGATAAAAAATAAGTCATTTTATAGCTAATAGCCATGGACAATGCTATAAACAAAACTAGACATTGATACCATCTGGAAATGTTTGGGAGAAAGAGGAAGGGTCATCAAATTATATCACAACTCTTAGAGAGAGATACTCAAAAACTATCATGAAAGGAGCAGCGAGAATCTCATTTTTGCACTATAGGTAGAACATTTACTCAGAATCAATGTATATGTCTGTGCATTGTGGATATAATAACTAGCAGCTTGATTTTTGCATTGTAATGTCTATGCAAAAATGCATTTCAATTCTTTATAATATTAGAGGAAGAGTCTATTTCACTATTGGCCTAAGTATATGTCAGTTCCTTTCATGTTTCTCACTCTCTTCTTAGGGTTTATCGTATTTACACTTAATACTGAAGGTTTCTTAGAATATGTTCCTACAATACAAACTGTATCCCATGCAACTGTTCTTTGCACTAAAATGTTTTAAATGTTTAAAATATTGGAAATACATTGAAAGCTTATGATAATAATACCAGCATGCAATATGATGTCACAGAGGCTGTGGCTTTTCATTTTTTCTAAGATGTATTCTATAGCAATGGTGCATGGAAGACATAATTTCACACACAGTAAAAACTAAAAGAGTTGAAAGGAACCCTGCTTTATGGTAAGACTTAAAGTAATATAAATGTAACTAAGATTTCTGTTTCATCCCATTTGCCCAATTTAATCA